TATATATATATATATAAAAATTGATTAAAAATATTTAATGAGATCGTGTTTGCTTAGCGTAACTTTTTTTATATGATTTTATTTCAAATACGAAATCTGGCATCTATTTTGTTCTCGTAATTCTGACGAATTTTACGGGTTTCGATCAAGCGTCGGTTCAGACGACTAGTTACTCCACTGCGAGAATTAGTTGACTTTTCGAGGCACACCGATACCACAACTACTCATCTTTTCGAATATTTACCATGAATATTTGATTGTCTCATAGGTTCTTAATTACATAGCGATGAATTATTTACATTATTATTTATGTAATATTAAATCATAAGCAATATTAAAAACATTCTGTTTGATAGATTATATTAATTCTCTTAAAGTTGAATTTATATGTGCATATGATAATCAAAATATAAACAAACAAAATGACAGTGCTTCTGAATGGTAACGTAAAGAAATATATCCTTGGACAATTACTAGATGAGAAAAAATTTGCAATCATATCTATATCGGTATGCTCGTCCATATCGTTGCTGATATCAGTTTCTGATATCGACATCGAGAGCTCTAGAACAGAGTCCGGACGATGGGAGTGCTAATAGCAGAGATGGCCAGGCGGGACGATGTTGAACGCAATCATAAAGTTGCACTTCGATGACGCGCTGCTTAATTACTTTAGGGTGGAATTTCACAGTGGCGCGGCGAGTAGTGGTTTCGACAATATATTCGTCATCATACCGTTAAGTGGAACTTATCGTCGACCGTTGGATTAATGAATGACGCGGCGTTTATTTGTAAATCGTACTATTCAGACGAACATCCTTCCGTTATCTCTTTCATTCGAGCCTTGATTCTTGCTGGTTATAGTTTTAAAATGTTTTTTTTTTGTTCAAATTCTTTTTGTGATAAACTTTTACAACGACAAAATATCTTTCTTTTCTCTAAATATTATTTTTAGATTTTAACACATTTATTTGTAAAATTATGCGCGACTCGATTTTTCGATATTTTATTATTTACATAGATAGATATATTTGCATGTTTCTCATTATATCGCTGTGTTGTTTTCATGAACTGAAAGTAACAGATATTAACACGTTTTTTTATATGGAATATTTCAAAAGAAGGAAGAAAATATTGTTTACACAGTATCTACTGTCGCATAAAATATTATTGTACATTTATATATATATATATATCTCTCTTTTTATTTATCTATAAAAAAAAAGATTTACGAAAATATGTGACAATGTCATATTTATTTAAACATCATTATTATGTCAGAGCGTGCCATTAAAGTTTTACGTAAATACCGTTCGTATTTGTAGATGTTGTGCTCGCGTACGACGTGTTCCTCGCGAATATACTTACATACATTACGCACATATATGTAATGGAAAATATGAAATAATAAAATCTCTGGCAACAAGTAGAATGTTTCATTGCCATTTTCAAAATATAATTAAATCGTTGAACGAATCCTGGCGTAAATCCAGTTAATTTCATTATCGTGCTTATGCAGATGTTGCATTTTCATAATCAATGCCGCTAGCATCTCTTCATACAGGTAGATAAACGCGACGACGCGTGTGTAAACAGTATTATTAATACAAATATTATAATATATTTTTGCATTGCATATTTCTTATATCTAATATTGTATTATCTATCTATTGGGATTGTACGTAATAATCATTCACCAATTTTTCCTTTATGGAAATGATAAAAATTACTCCCTATAAAATTAAATAATTTACAGCGTATTTATTCGCGCACTTCAACATTTATCCATTCTTGTTGATAATTTACGTTTCAATCTGTTCTTTTATCTCGTGTTTGTTCACTTTGAAGTAGAAATATTCTTACAATAGGCTATTGTATGCCACAGCTATTTTCTTACGGGTATTGTTACTGAACGGCAAATAAAAATAAGCAAAGAAAAAGAGGGAAAGATGTACCGTTCCTTATCACGATTTGTTCGGCAATTTCGTCCTACGCTGTCAATATACATTTTTTATATTTTCGTGCGGGTTTAGTAAGAGCAAGATTAATATTAATTAATTAAATATTCTGTTTTCATACACACCACATTTCGAATGATGTTCATTTATTTATAAAACGGATGGATAAAATATTTTGGGTATAATCTAATTAATTTAATATTTATTCAACATGAATAAGTCAAAAAAGATTAAAAGAGGTTTTCACAGACGAATTATATATGAATTATATACATGAAGGGCCTCTCGTTTTCTGAATAGTACAGATTTTCATGAATAGATATAAAATAATTCAATGACAAATTTGTATTTTGCAATTTCCCTAATGATCTCTATGAATTTCTTCATTTGTATAATGTCGAGGTGGATGAAAAGAAACTGATTTGTTTCGCGGGAACAGACCAGTTTCTTGAATTACATAATTTATCGTACATATTGATGCTTGTTTTTAATATTTCCTATAAGAAATGATATAGGTGAAGAAAAATTCATAAAATCCTATACAATATGTAGATATAATATGCTATACATATATTAAATAATATAATAAATAATAAATTTAAAAAAAAAAGTTTCAACGATGCATGTCGTTTATTAGACAATAACAATATAAGATTGTAAAAAGATATCACGTTAAAATAAAAATGCGACAATACGTATGACAGTGTTAAAAAAAACTTGTAAACTGTTTACAAGGAAGATGATTAATCCTTTATCATTTTGCGAGAGAAAGGTGCGGAGAGAGGCGAGGGCGGAAAGTGTTTAAGGACGAGCGCGCATCGTTAAACGAGATCGCACGTCTATTTTATGAATCTTTCCCTCCTACGACGAACAATAGTTGCGAGGGATATCACGAGAGAGAAAGAGACAGACGGGTGCGAAAGGGCTCGAGAGTGGAAAGTGTAATGACAAATCAGTTGATAGGGCCAAGAAAGTCTTTAAGCAGGCAGGAAGGTCGCGCCGAGTGGAGTAGAGACTGCCGAGTGGAGGTCGAGTCGAGTCGGCGGCACCGACCGGCTATAAAAGCCCTCTCGCACCGAGGCGTCGACGTCACACGTCGTTAGCACTCTGGACAGTGAGGAACTCCGGCGTGCCACCTGTTAAAGGCGCCTGTCCAGGTCATCCTCACGACCGTCGTCGCTATCACTGTGTGTCGAATTCTGTCACACCTCCGGTTTTATTCTTCTCATCTCAGTTCAGACGGTTTCAATATTGACGACTCGCGATCGAAGCCGGAAGTCAAAGTCGTCCCTCGTACACCTTCACGTCTTCCTTGAGAAGAGAAATTTCATCCCCGCGCGTCACACCCGCTCCTTTATTTTCGGCAAAGAATCGCGGAGAGAGTACTAGTCCAGGATTCTCCCACGGGCCGGTCCTTCCACGGAGTCTTCGCAAATTCAACAAGTAAGTGACTTCCTGTCGCGAGCTTTTATTTTGATCGCGTCCAAGGGGGATAAGATCCAAGATAGGGCCTTCTTGGGAAATATAATTGGCTAAACTTAATTCACATTATTTCTTTCGGCACGTATTAACATTGATCAATTCTGGTATTGTTTACATTTGTATACAGTTGCAAAGCGATTTTGTACAAATTCATGGCTAGGAGGATCTCGCGTGGAGTGTGAAAATTATCCGTGAAAACAAATTTGACACATTGTTTTCAATACTTGTCAATTTCAGTATAGCCTTCTTATCGTTTGCAGATAAGCGGTTTACCGTGTCATAATCGAAGAGTCACGTTGACTTTAAAGAAGTAAGTTGATGTAAATTGGTTTCGCGAAAATAGTTTTAACGTTTGATTGCTCCTTTATCCGGAAATTCTACGTCCATTATTCTACCAGCGATCTACGATTGAATAATCGTGCCAATACAAATGTATGTCTGTATATATGCATCGTTTATGTATGCTATTTCCCGATCGGTTGACTTGTTCGTTTGTTATCGCGAGTGTAGCATAAATAATAAAATTTATTTACACCGATCGATTGCGATAATCCGATAAACCACGTCAGCGCGCTTATTGTGTAAATTCAACCTTTACACTTTATCGATATGTTAACATCGCGAATCAAAATTGTCTAGATACTAATTTAGTGTCATGCGCGCGCTAATCTATACTTTATGCGAAAATCGAAAACGTATCCCCCCGGAGAACAGAACAGTCTATTATTTACCATCTTGGGTCTCGCTCGTCGGACAGATTTATTTTGATTAAATTTTCTATGTACCATGTTTTACGAAGCACAGCGAATATAATCACTAATCGCACGCTGTATATAAATATAATTATATATAAACAAAGGGGCGACAAAGGGCGCGCTCATGTGCTCATGTAATATCAACCAATTAATGTTGCGGATCAATAATAAACGGCGTTACCAATTAATATGATATTTAATTGCGATTATAAGGGCGCGATTATGGCTGCACGTAGTGAACGCGCAAAGCACAGTTCTGTCCCTCGAATTATTGTAAAATATCGAATTAATAGAAAATGGAACATGTACGTAATTACCTTTTTACTTAGCTTTAGAGACATGAATAATTTATATTTTATTTCAATATATAATTCCATTTCTTTTTCACTTACCTATTCACTTATGATAACGTTTCCTGCTCAAGAATTAATGTCGCCATTTATTCGCCGAATTGAACTCTCTATGGGTAAGCCTATATGGACCCGTATCTATTTTCCATGAATGTGTTTATATTTCTTTTATGAAAGAAAACTATATTATGTACATTCAGGCAAGTGTTCTTTCAATATTTTATTATTTGACTATATACCAATGCCAATATCAATATATTAAACAAACAAGAGCTCGCGTAATATCACATATGATATTTATATGTGTGATAAAATTATTATAAAATATTATTAAATAACTTATTGTTTATTCGATTGCATAGAGAAGGATTTTTGTGTTAAAAACAGAACGAATTTTATAAATATAATGCAATAAAAAAGGAAACGGGACCGATATCAAAAAACCGGTATAAGAAAGTAATATATTTATGACAATTATTATTAATTACATATATTAGCAAATTACATCTAATTACATTTACGTCTCTTTAACATTACACACATGTACATATACATATATGTTATAATTAATAATAATGTTAATTAGACCAGTTAATACGGTAAAATTGTAATTGGAGATATATATTCGGAGGTTAGAGATTCAACAGCTGGACTGAGGTCGGTGAATCATTATCACGCTCTTACGGGCGTGCCGTAATTATTTGATAAGCGAGATTAAATGCGCGGATCGGTACAATTCCGCGAGATAAATGTCGCGATAATAAAACAAGCGTTCAACGTCAAAGTTATTTTTTTCTTTTTTCTTCTTTTTTTGATTGAATGGCATGGATCCAAAGGGGAGCAAACCCGCGGCTATAGCTTCTACGGGTATATATCGAGTATATTGGATCCTTTGATATTGCGTCGCGATTTATCCCGGGTTCTGGGATTTATACGTCTCGCTTCGTTCCACCATCGCTTCACGGCTCTACCTCGTTATTAGCTATTTCCCGCTCGTACTTTTCGATCTCGTCTTTACGGTACAGTTTGGCTCTCTCTTTACGTCCGCCTAGGCGTTTACACAAATTTCGTTTGTCTACAGTCTAGAGGACCATTTCGGACCATCTATCTAAATCCGCGCCATGTAATCATGATTCGGCGAGCGATAAATCGCAGCGCGTATTCAATATCTTTACGCTATAAGCGATTCCGTTTATTACATGGAGTCAATTGATCATTGAACACACAACATTTGATTAATATTTTCGACACAATTTATACGAAGGGATACATAAAACTTAGTTAATTTGCTAATGTCGAGAGACGCAGACTTTATAACAATCTATTTCTTTCATTCATTAGCATTTTATAAGTAAATTAAAGCGCAGAATATTATATTAATGAAATTACTTAGAAATAAATTGAATTTAATTACAAAGTGTAAACATTATTTTTTGCGCGAAAGCAAAATTACATATATACTTACTACGGTTCTTTTACTACTATAATACTATGTGGAGAAAAAGATGTAAGATTTACAAAAATCATACCTATCTTATTGTATGATCAAACTTGGCGACAGTTTAACGATACTGATAAGTTGAGAAAATTTTTCCCCGTGAGATTTGCGACTGGATATTGTGAGAGCTTAAAAACTTTTCTTAATACAGCAAAAATACAGCGATGTTTAGTTTGTTTATTAAATGAAGCAGGTGCTTATCCGAGTCGTCAAACAGTTTTTGTAAGATTACACGTGTATGGAATTTTTTGCTTGTAATTAATGACAATTGACAAATAATTTTTTTATATAAAATATTTGTTTAGTTATATATTATTTCTTCTTTAAAATTGACATTTACATAATTGTATTTTATTGAATTACATTTGAATTATATTTATTATTTTATTATGTAATAATATAATATTTTTTATGTATATATATACATATTCATAATAATTTTGAAAGAAGATGGCAGTGATAATATTGTATTATACACTTATATGAAAAATTCTCAAGTTTCTAGAGAGAATCTCTGAATTTTCAACTATCAAAGCTGGTTAATCAAGTTAAATAATATACGATTATTGCGCTTTTATCAAAATTTTTCAAATTTACTTCGCCACTCTGCGCTCCGATATGTAGCTCGTGGTGCGTCCAATATCGCCGGCAATTCGTGTAATCGGCGCGAGTGACATTTTGAAACGAGCGTTTCTGTATCGCGGCGTTAATCGAATTTCTTTCGGTTGCATGTATATCTATGGACGTGGGACGACAATCCGCGGCAGAACTCTCTTTTTCATTGAAAGTTTCGAGCACGTTAAACGATCGATTTTCCGTTCGACATGTACGAGTAGATAACCCCGTGCGAATCTCTCGAGTAATCGTGAACACGGCGATTGTTTTGCATCGACAATGTGCCCGGTTCTGACAGGTCGGACATAACAAAATCAATCTCGGTCTTGTCTTAATTTCTAATCCTTACCAACATATGTTTCCTAACATACGTTATTCTAATTGATATAAATCTTTCATTCCTCTCAAACTGTTGAATTATTTCAAACGTCAAAAAGCTAATTTCCGTAGAAATTCAAGTAAATCTTTTATCTCTCAAGTATTATGTGTCGATTTACTTCTCTTATAAAATTATACTCTGTGAACTATTTGCAAATTTTCAAGTAGGTTTGTGGAAACCGTAGAGAATTATGGAATTTTTGTAATATTATTTTACGATACATAGATATGACGTTATAAAAAAAAATATAAAACGCGAAAAATTTATAATTGAAAATTGTTTGAATCGCTTGATCTTTTTGAACATTATTCGAGAATTATTAATTGTTAAACCGATATTTTGCCTAACAGTCCAATATCTCTCTATACTCTATACGAATTAGTTTGTCTATTCTTACTTATTGCGACTGTGAGGTACCTAAATAATACACGCTTACTTCCGTTGATATTTTCCTGGAACACATTCCTTTATAACGTTACATTAAATTCATGTAAATCTGCTTCAATTCGCAATACACTTGTAAAACTCAATGGGCGATGAAACATTATGCCGCTAGAATTACACGTCGTTCTATTATATTATCTAACAGGCGGGTGTTTAACGTCCGCACAGGTCAGGATATAAAGCTTTAATCTAAATTCGCATCGTTCTCGCGGATAATATTGCATCGAACTAGGGACAGTCGCGCAACGAAACTCAAGACGAGCTTTGAGTTTCTGTTTGAAGTGTGATGCTCTCATCGTCCTACATCATCCACAGGAGTATCTCATGAATGCGAAGATTAGTTTGATATGTTTTGCCCGCGTATAACGTACGTGTACGATGATTCTATTTACGGTTTCGATAACTTTCTTTGCGCGATTCCTTCTCCCGTTGTCGCGTGCGCATTTTCATTCACATTTTCCTGGAACATTCCTTTAGAATTTTACATTAAATTCATGTATATTCACTTCAATTCGTAGTGCATCTTTAAAAGTCAATGAACGGCGAGACATTGCTAGAATTACATGTTGTTTTATTATTGTATTATAAATATATGATGATGCGAAGTACAAAACTTTATACAAAATGTGGATTCTCTTTTTCAGTTGTTATTTCATACGAAAAGAATTACAAGAGCATCGAAAATTTGAAAAAAGAAAAAATTAGTTAATAATTAAATTTAAAATATTAAAATATATAAGAATAAGCTGCACAAAATATTTAGTTTCTCAACACATATTTTAGTAAAATATTATAACGTCAATAAATAATAAGACAAGAAGAATATCGGGTAAAGTTATACAAAATTTAGACAGAATTTTTCTCCACCAGGTTGAGGTTCCTACAAGGCGGAAAATTGCGTTGAGATTTACGCGGAACGATTAACTGCTTTACAATTCGAATCTATCGAATTCATGCGTCCAGAAGTAGCACATAATCGAACCGCCGCAGCTTATTAAGGCTAATAACCGCATAGATCATCAGTGATGCGATTCGGCTAACTGATTTTCCAGACGCACTACGATGAATCCGCGGTAAACTCGGTTGAAATAATTCACATGAACAAATGCATAAGTGTAATCAAAATTATGAATGATAATGTAACACCTCATAAATATATCGACTCTGTGATGACATGAAAGATATAAAATAATTCGTAAAATATTTAATTAATTAATTAGTTTAATTTTATTGTACGCATTGAGAAGTATGTATATATACATTGCTAGA